GCTGGGGGGGGGGAGGGGGAAGGGGGGGGGCAGCGGGTCTGGTTGGGAGAGTTTGGGGTCGGGGGCAGCCGACGGGGCGGGGGGAGATTGGGAGGAGGAGAACTGGCCAGCAGGAAGCAGGGCTGGCAGGGGGAGCGGGGCTGGCCGAGGGAGATTGGGAGGAGGAGAACCGGCCAGCAGGAAGCAGGGCTGACCGGGAGGTGGTCATGGGGAGCGGGGCTGGCCAGGGGGGAAGCAGGAGGGGAGAGAATTGGCCAGTGGGGAGCGGGACTGACCTGGGCACTTGCAGAACCCAGGGTGCTGCCGTCCCTCGCAAGGTCCCAGCGAAACACGAGCGAGTCCGGCTACAGCTCCACAATGCGCTTGAACAGCTCTCAGGAGCACAGACAAGGCTGCTCCTCCTTCCCAAAGCATCACTCCTACGTCAGATGCAACCAGAGGCTCCCAGCCACTCCTCCAGCCCCTGCCAGGCTCCTGTCGTGTGCTCTGCCGGAAAACCAGAAAATGCCGGACATTGAATATGTCCAGTATTTTCTCAATTTTTTTACCGGACAGAGGGCCCCAAAAACAGACTGTCTGGTTGAATACCGCACACCTGGCAACCCTACTACCACCACCAGGAAGAGGCTGGCACCAGTCCTCAGCCTCAGGCAGGTACAGCGTGGTGCTGCAGGGAATCTGGGACAAATGGTGTCCCAGAATCATTCAGCCTGGGCTAGGACTTGAACATTTTGGGACTGTCCTATCCAGTTATGGTAACCCTAGACACAGACAAAAGAGTAAGTTGAGGGAAAAGGAGAAAGTATCTCTCTTCCAGCCTGTAGTTTCTCCCTATCCCCCGCCCCCACTTAATTCCTCCCATATTCTCTAAAAGTGAAGAGGAAAGAGAGAGTCGTTTTAAAGAACAATCTTATCTTCCACATCCTAATAAAGTTCTTAATTCAGTGTTTGGGCCTAGTGACTCCCTACCACTTTCACAACAGCTCCTGCCTCCGACTGCTATTCTCTTCAGGTGGCCAAAGGATGATGTCTTTGGATACATCTGCACATTTTTGAACACTATAATAGCTACATTGGAATTCCTGCCTCCTCACTTCTGATTAGAAAGAACCTAATCAAAGTTGGAGAGTAGTTGGGAGTTATAGGAGAACTTAGATATTTTAGGGTATGTCTACACTACAAAGTTAATTCGAACTAACAGCTGTTAGTGCAAATTAACTTTCATAGCATCTACACATAGAAACCGCTAGTTCGAACTTAATTCGAACTAGCGGAGCGCTTAATTCGAACTAGGTAAACCTCATTCTACAAGGACTAACGCCTAGTTCGAATTAAGTAGTTCGAATTAAGGGCTGTGTAGCCACTTAATTCAAACTAGTTGGAGGCTAGCCCTTTCCAGGTTGCTCTGGTGGCCATTCTGGGCCAAACCAGGGAAACTTTTCTGCCCCTCTCCCGGCCCCGGAGCCCTTAAAGGGGCACGGTCTGGCTACAGTGCCCATGCCATTTGCAAGCCTGCCAGCACCCAGCCAGCAGACCCTGCATCTGGCACGCCATGAGCCAGCCACCCGGTGTCACCTAGCCCTCCCCCTCTTCCCAGGACCAGGCTGGCGGCCCACAG